ATTATGATAGCGCCCGTGTTTCGATGATAAGCTACACTCATCTTCCCCGGACTTAATTTCCCGCTGCCAGTGTTCTCATTATGACGCATAAAAATAGCCGGATATAGTCCCTCTTCAACAGTAAAATGCTTGATGCTTCACCAGTAGATCTGAGCTTCACTAGTAAGCTTAATGTTTCACTGTAACGGTTATGCTCACAGTATAGCGGGTTAATGCTATCAGTAGCTGGTTAATGCTTATTAACTGTTCATATAATGTTACACTCTGCTGTCACATCACAGTCTGTGTCTAATTTCACATTACGCCATTTATCAATTGCAACATGTCAAAAATACTTGCGACATAATTAATCACAGCGATGTGAACTTACAAAGATTTTTTCCATTATGGCTATTTTACTGTAATTTCCATGTTGTTTCGAAAGTGTCAGCAGTTATTTACGAATGGGAATTATCCCCACATATATGCTGGTTGAAGCTTTCAAGCATCTTATGTAAGCATAAGCATCTTACTGGTGAAGCATCAAGCATCTTATGGTGAAGCATCAAGCTCTTAATGGTGTAGCATCAACTTCTACTGGTGAAGCATCAAACATCTTACTGGTGAGCTCAAGCATTTACTGGTACGCATCAAACATCTTACTTGAAGCAATTCAACACTACTGGTGAAGCATCAAACATCTATGGTGAATCATCAACATCTTACTGAGTGAAGCCTCAAGATTTTACTGGTGAGCATAAAATCTTACTGGTGAAGCATCACATCTTCATGGTTGAAGATCAACATTATGTGATCATCAAACATTTACTGGTGAAGCTCAAGCATTTTCTGGTGAAGCATCAAAATCTTACTGGTGAAGCATCAAACATCTTACTGGTGAATCATCAACATCTTACTGGTGAAGCATCAAGCATCTTACTGGTGAAGCATCAAGCATCTTACTGGTGAAGCATCAAGCATCTTACTGGTGAAGCATCAAGCATCTTACTGGTGAAGCCTCAAGCATTTTACTGGTGAAGCATCAAACATCTTACTGGTGAAGCATCAAACATCTTACTGGTGAAGCATCAAACATCTTACTGGTGAAGCCTCAAGCATTTTACTGGTGAAGCATCAAACATCTTACTGGTGAAGCATCAAACATCTTACTGGTGAATCATCAAACATCTTACTGGTGAAGCCTCAAGCATTTTACTGGTGAAGCATCAAACATCTTACTGGTGAAGCATCAAACATCTTACTGGTGAAGCATCAAACATCTTACTGGTGAATCATCAAACATCTTACTGGTGAAGCCTCAAGCATTTTACTGGTGAAGCATCAAACATTTTACTGGGTGAACCATCAAACATCTTACTGGTGAAGAGGGGCCCCCTACCAATAAACACTAACCACTTAAACGTTACCACCTCATTAAGGTGAACTAACGTCGGGGGGCTGAAGAGTCTTAGACCACAGATATTGATACTGTGTTCATTAATTATACCATGACCTCCCTGCACTTCACTTCCATACTTTTTTCCGTATTTTTCACTGAAGTTGATATATCAGAGTGCAGGCTAGGAACCATTCCTTCAAGTATCTTCATGTATCTCTTTTATTTCCCAGAGATAACAGTTCAAGTGTTTTGAGGTGTTCAATGGTTCAAATGTTTTACTTATTCTGTACGTGTAGTACACAGTCTCTGTAAAATTTCCAGATCTGTTCTCTTGCGTTGAAAGTGCTGTGATCACAGATAAAACATTGAAGCTGTGAGAACACAAGTGATTAAAAAAGGCTGATTCAAGAACATAAAGGGAGAACACTTCAGCAGGCCTACTGGCCCATACTAGGAAAGTCCTTCTCAACCCCAACTCATTTTCAATACTACCTTGATAACCCTGTTAACTTATATGCAAGTTCCCCTCAAAACAACCCCTCTCATTATGTATTTACCTAACCTAAATTTGAAGCTACCCAAGGTTTTAGCCTCAATGACCTTACTAGGCAGACTTTTCCACTCACTGACTACTATGAAGAAGAACGCAAAAGAAGTGTTAAACTTAACGACACCAATAATGCTCCTCTCTGTCAAATTGTTGGGTCAAGAGCCCTGTATGGGCCTCCAGGCAATCCCATTGAAGGTAGGTTGAGTAAGGAGACTCCACCAGCCACTCACCATTCCCCAGCAAGGACTTATCATCTAAATGTAACAACACGTTCTGTGTCTTGTGAGAGATGGCTCATTAACAGTGCGCAGCTAGTGACAGCTCATTAACTGATTAGCAATTGACGTCGCAGTCTGAAGGTCAGTGACGTCGTCAGCTTGCAAGCAACAACCGGAAAAAAAAAACTCGCTTTTACGATGAAGATAAACTGTCACACGTAGCAGCTACTGCTATAACTGGCAGTTGAAGTATGGACCAGTTGACAGGTGGTTAAAAGGACATCAAAAGATCTTTAATAATACGATGTTTCACCTTCACCCTTTTTTCTGTTTACTCCTAAACAGCCCTTTCCCTCTCTGTTCTTGACATACCTCTTGTTACTTAACAAACAAAACAACGGTAAAAAACTGGTAAATATGTACCAAGGAAAGAGTACAGTACTGCGCACAGGAGTGTACAAAAGTACAGTATCACACACAGGAGTGTACAAAAGTATAGTATCACACACAGGAGTGTACAAAAGTACAGTATCACACACAGGAGTGTACAAAAGTACAGTATCACACACAGGAGTGTACAAAAGTATAGTATCACACACAGGAGTGTACGAAAGTACATTATTATTACAATCAAAAAGAAGCGCTAAACCACAAGGGCTATACAGCGGTACAAAAGTACAGTATCGCACATGCCAAATGTTCCTAGAATTAAGACTTAGTTATTTTATACCTGCGTTAAAAGTTTGAAGCCGACCGGATGAGACCTCGTGTTATCAGTGAATTAAAAAGAAATAAAAACCAGACTCCAGCAACGAGTCTTCTACATTTATCACCGTGCGTGTGAAAATGTACGAACTAGATTGTATTACGTGCCTCGTGCTGCCAGACGTAAGTCTCCCGTCGTTTTCAATTTCGTTATCGTCGAATAATTATAGGGAAATATAGATTAGTATATATTAACGTAAGTAATGCAAACCTGCGGAGTCTAACCCGGAACAACAAATACGAATTTCTTACTGAAAACTCACTCATGCAGAGACTCAGAGATGGTGTGAATCTGACTGAGGTGAAGGACAGGTTGTATCCGTAGGTTAAAGACTTCAACTTGACTCTGAGGCACTTCCCTGACAGATGATAATAAGGTGACATCAACATGTCACAGCAGACACTTACTTTCTCATGTTTTATAGAAGAGAGACTAAAAAGAGAACCGAAATATTAAGTTTATTTTCTAATAATTATTTTTTTTCCTATATCACATACAACCCTAGAAGAGAAGGGAGAGAGGGGGGGAAGGGAAAACATAATCATGACATACAAAATAGTCAAGAATAGAGGGAGATGGGGACAAGTTGTGAGCAGGAGCCAGGGGTCACTGATGATAGGTAAGACACTGATAAGCTGCAGTAACTTTACTAAACGTGTCTTCAGCGTCAGATGTGCTAAGTGAAATGCATCAGATGAAAATCTGGAGGAAGCGAACACCACATACATTATCAAGAGTATTTACGAGTGTGCTCTGGAGGATAGATATTAGCAAAGCTGGTTGATAAGAGTTTTTGAAAGGCGAGGCCAGGAGCTGTGAATCGAACCAAACACAACTGAGTACATACACACACACATACACACACACCAGTAATAACACGTCACGAAGCTCTTAGGAGACCGTGAGAGTTACCAGTTTGCGGGTACTTTGAGCTGCTGCTCTTGGGCTCATCTCTTTCCTAACTTTCCCTGAGCCGACTTCGTCTGATTCTGTCGTACTGATTGCTTTAAAGCTGGGAATCGTTTCGTTCTCCGCCAAGTCGTTCACAAGACTATTCCACTTCACCATAACTGCCGTAAAATATTTCCTGGTAAGGTTAAGGTTCCTCCTGTGTTTCCTCGTTCTTCAACAAGACATGTTTAAAAGATCTGTTTTTTGACTAAAGTTTATCCCCAGAAGTATTTTGTAAATGGTGGTCGTGTTCCCTCCTGTTCTTCGTTCTTCTACCGTCGTAAAGCCCACTTTGTTAAACCTTTTTGCTTACAGTAGCTTTTTTGTTTATCAAGTCCGGCACCAGCCTCTGCTGCAGCAAGCCAGTAAGAGGTACAAGAAGCCGAGGGGCACAAGAAGCTATGGAGGGGCACAAGAAATCAGGGAGAGGCACGACAAACCAGGGAGGGGCACAACAAGGTAGAGAGGGGGTGCAACAAGCCAGGGAGGGGTACAAGAAGCCAGGGAGGGGTGCAACAAGCCAGGAAGGGGCACAACAAGCCAGGGAGGGGGTGCAACAAGCCAGGGAGGGGGTGCAACAAGCCAGGGAGGGGTACAACATGCCAGGGAGGGGCACAACAAGCCAGGGAGGGGCACACCGTGAGAGTCAAGCAGTCAAGCGAAGGGACAATCGCCTTTTTTTTTTCTTAGGGAGCAACAACCTCAGGCAGCGTGACAAGCAGATGGTGGCCACCCTCCTTGTCAGCCACCTTCCTCCTCCTCCTTGTTCTTTCTCTTTCCCTTGTTCTTCTTTCTACCTCTTCTCCTCCCTGCTAGTCCTTTCTCCCCTCCTTGTGCTCTTTCTCCCCCTTGTTCTTCCTTCAACGTCTTCTCCTCCCCACTAATCCTTTCTCCTCCCTCCACTCTTCCTCCAGCATCTTCTCCTCCTTCCCCTCTACATCGTCCTCCTCCCTCTCTTAAATCTTCCTTTCTCTTCCACATCCTCCTTGCATCCCCTCTTTGTGACTCCTCTTCATACACTGTCAAGTACAAGGGTAGACTGTGTACATCTCCATGAACCGTGTCCCAGAAAGAAGCCGTGTGGGGCGCCATCTATTGGATAGATTCTTTACTCTTCATGTGTTTCGTTGCCTCACGTATTTTATTCTCTTTCTATTCTTAGTAATCCCCCTTCCTTTATATTCATATTTTTTTCGGTGGCAGTGCCTTTTGATCAATTAACCTATACGATAGTCCTTAATCCTGAGAGAACAGTTCTCACCAGGTAGCCTCAGTGTGGACTTCAAAGTCCTTTAGTATCTGGTAAATTGACATATGTGCAATACTTGGGTATCTTTATTGTGGAAAAGTTTCCACAATAAAGATACCCAATTATGACACGTGTGTCTAATTTACCCAACTTGTCGGTTCTCTGAGCCATTTATCTACACCTCTGGTATCTGTTTTTCCATGTACACCTGACAGTCAGTACACGTAAGCATTAAACAGCTCTTTATTTGTGGAATATTCTTTTATTATTTGTTGAAAGCTCCAAGTAGTCTTTGGTATTTAATTTAAATATTGCCTGATACCTTGGCCTTCAACTTTACTTAACCTCCTGTTTTTTTTTTTTCCTGTTCACACAGTCCTGTGTTCGTGGCCTGGTCACCCATGAAGAGGGAGCTGGAGGGGAACGGGTATTTTCTCGATGTAATGGCCTGGTGTACGTGTAAAGGTATTATCCTGGACGTATTCAGCGTCACGAAAGCTACGAAATCTGTCTTCTGGCGGAGGTGGCTGGATCAGTAGTTCGCTGGTCATCAACAGTAATTTAAAGAGAAGGCAGCCTTCATTCACCTGTTGACAGCCTAGTCAGAGGCTCTAGCAAGGTACTCAGTCTTTCTCAAACGTAAAGTACTACAGTGGCCCGTTTCCTATGCTGGATCATCCACCGGGACTGCATGTGTCTCAGTGGTTGTACGACTGCATGTGTCTCAGTGGTTGTACGACTGCATGTGTCTCAGTGGTTGTACGACTGCATGTGTCTCAGTGGTTGTATGACTGCATGTGTCTCAGCGGTTGTATGATTGCATGTGTCTCAGTGGTTGTACGACTGCATGTGTCTTAGTGGTTGTACGACTGCATGTGTCTCAGCGGTTGTATGATTGCATGTGTCTCAGTGGTTGTACGACTGCATGTGTCTCTGTGGTTGTACGACTGCATGTGTCTCAGTGGTTGTACGATTGCATGTGTCTCAGCGGTTGTACGACTGGATGTGTCTCAACGGTTGTATGACTGCATGTGTCTCAGTGGTTGTATGACTGCATGTGTCTCAGTGGTTGTACGACTGCATGTGTCTCAGTGGTTGTATGATTGCATGTGTCTCAGTGGTTGTATTACTGCATGTGTCTCAGCGGTTGTATGAGTGCATGAGTCTCAGTGGTTGTATGACTGCATGTGTCTCAGTGGTTGTATGACTGCATGTGTCTCAGCGGTTGTATGACTGCATGTGTCTCAGCGGTTGTATGACTGCATGTGTCTCAGTGGTTGTATGACTGCATGTGTCTCAGCGGTTGTACGATTGCATGTGTCTCAGCGGTTGTACGATTGCATGTGTCTCATCGGTTGTATGACTGCATGTGTCTCAGCGATTGTATGACTGCATGTGTCTCAGCGGTTGTATGACTGCATGTGTCTCAGTGTTTGTATGATTGCATGTGTCTCAGTGGTAGTACGATTGCATGTGTCTCAGTGGTTGTACGACTGCATGTCTCAGCGGTTGTATGATTGCATGTGTCTCAGTGGTTGTACGACTGCATGTGTCTCAGTGGTTGTACGATTGCATGTGTCTCAGTGGTTGTACGACTGCATGTCTCAGTGGTTGTATGACTGCATGTGTCTCAGTGGTTGTATGACTGCATGTGTCTCAGCGGTTGTACGATTGCATGTGTCTCATCGGTTGTATGACTGCATGTGTCTCATCGGTTGTATGACTGCATGTGTCTCAGTGGTTGTATGACTGCATGTGTCTCAGTGGTTGTATGATTGCATGTGTCTCAGTGGTTGTACGACTGCATGTGTCTCAGTGGTTGTACGACGCATGTGTTTCAGTGGTTGTACGACTGCATGTGTCTCAGCGGTTGTATGATTGCATGTGTCTCAGTGGTTGTATGACTGCATGTGTCTCAGTGGTTGTACGACTGCATGTGTCTCAGTGGTTGTATGATTGCATGTGTCTCAGTGGTTGTATGACTGCATGTGTCTCAACGGTTGTATGATTGCATGTGTCTCAGCGGTTGTATGATTGCATGTGTCTCAGTGGTTGTATGACTGCATGTGTCTCAGTGGTTGTATGACTGCATGTGTCTCAGCGGTTGTACGACTGCATGTGTCTCAGCGGTTGTATGACTGTATGTGTCTCAGTGGTAGTACGATTGCATGTGTCTCAATGGTTGTACGACTGCATGTCTCAGCGGTTGTATGACTGCATGTGTCTCAGTGGTTGTACGACTGCATGTGTCTCAGTGGTTGTACGACTGCATGTGTCTCAGTGGTTGTACGACTTCATGTCTGTGGTTGTACGACTGCATGTGTCTCAGTGGTTGTATGACTGCATGTGTCTCAGTGGTTGTATGATTGCATGTGTCTCAGTGGTATGACTGCATGTGTGTCAGTGGTTGTATGATTGCATGTGTGTCAGTGGTTGTATGACTGCATGTGTCTCAGCGGTTGTATGACTGCATGTGTCTCAGTGGTTGTATGATTGCATGTGTGTCAGTGGTTGTATGACTGCATGTGTGTCAGTGGTTGTATGACTGCATGTGTCTCAGCGGTTGTATGACTGCATGTGTCTCAGTGGTTGTATGACTGCATGTCTCAGTGGTTGTATGACTGCATGTGTCTCAGTGGTTGTATGACTGCATGTGTCTCAGTGGTTGTATGATTGCATATGTCTCAGAGGTTGTACGACTGCATGTGTCTCAGTGGTTGTACGACTGCATGTGTGTCAGTGGTTGTATGACTGCATGTGTGTCAGTGGTTGTATGACTGCATGTGTCTCAGCGGTTGTATGACTGCATGTGTCTCAGTGGTTGTACGACTGCATGTGTGTCAGTGGTTGTATGACTGCATGTGTCTCAGCGGTTGTATGATTGCATGTCTCAGCGGTTGTATGATTGCATGTGTCTCAGCGGTTGTACGACTGCATGTGTCTCAGTGATTGTACGACTGCATGTGTCTCAGCAGTTGTACGACTGCATGTGTCTCAGTGGTTGTATGACTGCATGTGTCTCAGTGGTTGTATGATTGCATGTGTCTCAGTGGTTGTACGACTGCATGTGTCTCAGTGGTTGTACGACTGCATGTGTCTCAGTGGTTGTACGACTGCATGTGTCTCAGTGGTTGTACGACTGCATGTGTCTCAGTGGTTGTATGACTGCATGTGTCTCAGCGGTTGTATGACTGCATGTGTCTCAGCGGTTGTATGACTGCATGTGTCTCAGTGGTTGTATGATTGCATGTGTCTCAGTGGTTGTATGATTGCATGTGTCTCAGTGGTTGTATGACTGCATGTGTCTCAGCGGTTGTATGATTGCATGTCTCAGCGGTTGTATGATTGCATGTGTCTCAGCGGTTGTACGACTGCATGTGTCTCAGTGATTGTACGACTGCATGTGTCTCAGCGGTTGTACGACTGCATGTGTCTCAGCGGTTGTACGACTGCATGTGTCTCAGTGGTTGTATGACTGCATGTGTCTCAGTGGTTGTATGATTGCATGTGTCTCAGTGGTTGTACGACTGCATGTGTCTCAGTGGTTGTACGACTGCTGGACTAAACACTTCCTGGCACAGCTGAGGGACTGATCACCTCAAACTGTTTCTTCAAATTTTCCACCGTCTCCAAGATTACCCTCTGCAATAAAGATACCATTAAGACACATGTGCAACATCTGGGTATCTTTATTGTAGACGTTTCGCCGTCCAGTGGCTTTATCAATACAAATTCTAGGACATAACTTGAAGACAGTAGAACTATGTACAGAAGATGAGGTAATCAGTCCCTCAACCTAGGAGTAGGTGCGAAGAGAACCATAGTCGTGGAGAATCTCCACGACTATGGTTCTCTTCGCACCTACTCCTAGGTTGAGGGACTGATTACCTCATCTTCTGTACATAGTTCTACTGTCTTCAAGTTATGTCCTAGAATTTGTATTGATAAAGCCACTGGACGGCGAAACGTCTACAATAAAGATACCCAAGTGTTGCACATGTGTCTCAGTGTCGCCTCACACTTGTCTCAGTGTCGCCTCGCCAAACAGTTCAGTGGATCATCACACTACTGAAGAGAAATTTTACAATAATAATATATGTATTAACCCGAGTTCATTTTTTATTTGTTTTCCATGCAGGTAAATATTATTTAGCAAACTTTAGGTTTCGGTCACTTGACAATGGTCCAGGAGGGACCGAAACGTCGGCATAAGGTTCCTTTCCTAAGAGGAGGATGGTTGTCCCTGACAACCATCCTTCTCTTTCTTCTCTCTTCCTCTATTTTCTGTTTTATTGTGTCTACATCCCACTGTTTGCTCTTCTGAATTTGTTTCCTGTTCAAAACTTTGCCTCTTCTCTATTGTTTCTTCAACCCTCTCTTCTACACCTCGTTTCTTCAACCCTCTCTTCTGCACCTCGTTTCTTCAACCCTCTCTTCTGCACCTAGTTTCTTCAACCCTCTCTTCAGCACCTCGTTTCTTCAACCCTCTCTTCTGCACCTCGTTTCTTCAACCCTCTCTTCTGCACCTCGTTTCTTCAACCCTCTCTTCTGCACCTCGTTTCTTCAACCCTCTCTTCTGCACCTCGTTTCTTCAACCCTCTCTTCTGCACCTCGTTATTCTCCCTTTCTCAACCCTCTCTTCTGCACCTCGTTTCTTTCAACCCTCTCTTCTGCACCTCGTTTCTTCAACCCTCTTCTTTCTGCTACCTCGTTTCTTCAACCCTCTCTTCTGCACCTCGTTTCTTCAACCCTCTCTTCTGCACCTCGTTTCTTCAACTCTCTCTTCTACACCTCGTTTCTTCAACCCTTTCTTCTTATCTACTTTCATCACCCTTATCTTTCTTGGTGATGGTGGCGAGGCCTGCGCCCTCAGGTGCGTCACTCTCCTGCAGCCGTAGAGAGCTTCACCACGCCCTCGCTCTATAACCCACACTCGTTTAGCGCATTTTTTTTAAATATTCATCACGCCCTCCAGTCAACCCCCCCCCCCCATCACACAACCACAACCATGACTGCAACTATAATCACCACCATCACAACCACCCCGGCAGGTACATCCTTCTTTCCCGCTGGTCGCCACTTTCCCCCACCCTTCCTGTCTCCCCTATTACACCCCCCCCCACAATCACCCTTACTTCCCACCCACCCACACGCACCAACACTCGCCCTTCCACACTACAACGCTTGAAGACGCAGCACCAGTCCAGCTGCTCGGATGGCAGAGCACTCAACTCACATACAGAGTGTCCGTGGTTCGATCCCCAGCCCTGTGAAAACGCTGGGCATGTTTCCTGACACTTACTGCCCCTGTTCACCTAGCAGTAAGTAGGTACCTGGGTTTAGTCGACTGTTGTGGGTGGCATCCTGGGGGTGGTAGTATACCTTAGATAGGGATTTGAAATGAGCTGACGCAGGATAACAGCTCTTAGCTGTAAATGAGCTGAGGTAAAATAATAGCTCTTAGCTGTAAATGAGCTGAGGTAAGATAACAGCTCTTAGCTTGTAAATGAGCTGAGGTAAAAGAATAGCTCTTAGTTGTAAATGAGCTCAGGTAAGATAACAGCTCTTAGCCTTTAAAAGTGATGTTAAAAAAAGAAGTACGCTTGAACTTGAAGCTTGCATCTTCTTAAACACTATAAAAAGCTTGAAAAAGTCTTGCAACCTTAACAGCACTAGTGTAGTCGATAAGATTTAAATCTAATAAAAGCATCCAACTAAGAGGTGTTCGGCAGTGCTGGAGAAAACAAAAGACGTTATATTTTATGAAGCACTAAACCCTTGTGAGTCACTGAGAAGTAGTAGTAGTGGAGGTTCGAGCCTCCGTCTGTTCTTAGTAGAGAGACCAGACAAGATATACAGGCAGGCCCCCGCTTTACAGCACTTCACTTTACAGCGTTTCGCTAATACAGCGGTTTTCATTTATACCCATTCTTAATTTATTCAGACTTCCTACAATAAATATATTCACCACATATGTGTGAACTGCACATGCATTTTTTTAGGCGTAGCTATAGTGCTCACTTAATATGTTAATGTGAACATGATATCAGGCTTTTATATGTGTTTGCAAGTGAAAAAAAATGATTCATTTTACAGCTATTTTCGGTTTACAGCAGTAGCCCGGAACCTAACCTGCTGTATAAGCGAGGCCCTCCTGTAACTGGGTACCGAAGGAAGACACTGCAGCCCAGAGCATAGCACATGACCAAGCCTTTCTACCACAAGACGATTATTAGAATACAACTACCAAACATCTTGGACAACGGTGACTGTAATCCCAGTACTGAAGAGAAGAGACTAATATGCAGCCCTAACCTACACATCATCCCTAGCAGACGTATATAAATGGTTCAGAAAACCAACACGTTGACAAATTAGACACATATGTCCTTATTGTGGAAACATTTCACCACACAGTTGCTTCTACAGTCCAATACAAACAAGAATGGTGAAGATTTTCAACATTCTTTGTATTGGACCGATGAAGCCACAATAAAGACACCCAATTGTTGTAAATGTGTCTAATTCATCCCTAGCAAACTTACAAGGTGACGAGTAAATAAAGAGACTAAGACACATGCAAAGACACGGATTCAGACCGGAGAAAATCTTATCACGAGCTTAGTAGAATTCAACAGCAGTTCTTAGTTATTAGACAAAAAAGAGGAGGGAAGATACACGAATACATAAAAGAATCTAGAAAGTTAGTCATGGTGAGAGAGGAGTTATGGTGAACAATCCCAGCCCAGCACAGGCTAAGTCAGAACAATAACAACCCAGCCCAGCACAGGCTAAGTCAGAACAATAACAACCCAGCCCAGCACACACGCTAAGTCAGGACAATAACAACTCCAACCTAGCACAGGCTAAGTCAGAACAATAACATCCCCAACCTAGAACAGGCTAAATCAGAACAATAGGAACCCCAGCCCAGCACACGCTAAGGCAAAAGAATAACAACCCCAGCCGAGCATACCCTAAGTCAGAACAATAACATCACGTCCAACCTATGTCCTGACACACAAGCAGAATGTTATCAGCCAGTCTCACAAACGTAAGAATAACATAAAAGAGTGCTAACAAGGAATCCACCAGAACAAGTCCAAACAATTACCTGGTGTTGTCATTCAAACTGTCGCCTGACCAAGAGTTTAGTTGTGTAGCTGTAACGCCAGAGTGGTTAATGTGCACCTCCTGTTCATCCTGTAAATGTTAGCGCAAAAAAAAGACGGCAATGTAGAGGCCACAATCCTGCCTCCTCTTGTCCATTAGGGTCAATTAACCTATAACGAAGTTGGCACTATGAGAAGAGACTTGCATTTATGGTGTCTGCTAAAACCATGTATATGTGTGTATGGAAGGGCATGGGGGGAAGGGTGCGTGCGTGTGGCATTCTGGGCAAGTATTTGGTGGAGGATCTATGCTCCATCCTCTTATCACTGCCCGGCGTATGATTTGTCAGGCTGTTGGTGATAGCCATGGAACGTACACATGGAGGTAGTGAGCAGAGAGAGACGGAGAGGGGAGAGAGAAAGAGACGGAGAGGGGAGAGAGAGAGAGAGAGAGAGAGAGGTGGGGGGGAGAGTGACACAAAAAAATTCTACAATATACAAGCATAGTTTGTGACCACTCTATTCTACGAGAGATCTACAGTGTGGGAAGAAATGCTAGTGAACGATGAGGAGATTGAGGAGAAGGTGGGGGCATGGTGAGTGGTGAGGGGTGAAGGGACAGTGGTGGGCTGGTCAGTGGTGAGGGGTGTGGTGAGCGGTGAGGGGTCAGTGGTGGGCTGGTCAGTAGTGAGGGGTCAGTGGTGTAGGTGGTAACCACGAAAGAATCATGAAGACGAGCTGTTTACTCTCTAACGATGTCGAGCGTTAAGTATGTGTGGTGGGTGCGTGAGGGCGTGAAGCCCGTGGGAAGGAGGAGGCGTGAAATGTGTGTGGTAGGGCATGGAGGGCGTAAAGCCCGTGGGGGGGGGGGCGCAGGGAGCGTGAAGTGAATTCCTCATTGATTACATTAAAAGTAGGAACACTAGCAGTGTGCGGCTACCCTACTCTACGTGTTAGCTGCATTGTGGTAACACCAGCTAGTTATGTTTCCCTGGTATATTCCATCACACATGATGGTTTTGCATCAAATGATAAAATTTGAGAGCCACAGCTGGGAGGATATCCTCAAGTATTTCACTATTAGTACAAACTTGAAGGGATGATAACTTAAGGAGGAAGAGATGACTTAGCAGGAGGTGTTTTATGGAGGTGGTGGTGATTAGGGAAGTGATGGCTTAGGAAGGAGGTAATGATTTAAGACGTAGGAGTGAAATGCGTGGGGTTGGCGACTGGAGGAAAGTACTAAGCCTTGTGAAGCCTGAGAGGTCGAGGCATGGGCTTGGTGGGAGCACTGAATGAAGGATGTGAGGTGGGGATGAGGGCATAGGTATAGGAAGGTGAAGTGGCAGTGCAGTGGATGAGAGGGAGACGGTGGAAGAACACACGCACACACATACACACACACTAACACTCTCACAGTTGGAAGCTGAAGACTCAGATGAACCACAGGGATGTTAGGAAGTATTTCTTCAGTCACAGTGTTGTCAGGAAGTGGAATAGCCTGGTTAGTAATGTAGTGGAGGCAGGTTCCATACACATCTTTAAGAAAAGGTATGATAAAGCTCACGGAGCGGGAAGAGTGACTGGGTAGCGGCCAGTTGAAGAGGCGGGGCCAGGAGCTGTGACTCGACCACCGCAACCACAACTAGGTGAGTACAACTAGATGAGTACACACACAGTACCTAAAAATAAGCCTTGAGGAACGTACCACCTTACTTAGGTAAACACAATGTATAACTAGTAGCAGCTCAGGGGTGTTAAAGGTGTCTAAGACAAGGGAAGTTCCACAACCAGTGGGGAAGGATGCATACTAAACACACAAGCAGAGATGGGCCACGGTGCCCTGGAAGTGAATTCAAAATACAGCCCAACAAATTCACCCCATTCAATCGAAAATTAAGAAGCGGGTACAAGATAAACACACACACACACACACACACACACACACACACACACACACACACACACACACACACACACACACACACACTTCCCAACGGACGAACCATTTAGGAAAATAGATTTCTGACGTTAATTCAACTTGGATGTATTGCCAAAAAAAAAAAAAAACTGGTCAATGTTGAGGGTATCATGAGTCTTAGTTTGGCATAAGACTGTGACTAACAATGTATGATTTAAGAGTGGTTAATAGGGATTGGTATAAGTGTGTGGATAACAAGCGCTGGTATAAGAGCGTGGTTTGTAGGGACTGGTATAAGAGTGTGGCTAAAAGGAGGTTGCTATAGGGGTGTGGCTAACAGGTGGTTACTCTCGGGGTGTGGCTAACAGGGTTTGGTATAAGAGTGTGGCTAATAGGTGGCTGCTATAGGGGCATGGCTAACAGGTGGTTGCTATGGGGTGTGGAATAGAATAAATTCATGGGATCGACCTTGGAGGCTAGTGGAGCTGTCCCGGAGGATGTGGTCACTCCTCCAAGGTAATGATGGCTGGCTGGCTAGCCGACTGGCTGGATGGTTAGCTGCTTACCTAGACTGTTTCCTATCCTTCTGGATTTTATTTTGATGCTGTGCCTACACACACACACACACACACACACACACACACACACACACACACACACACACACACACACACATACAAACAGGCCAGGAGCTGTGAATCGACCCCCTGCAACCACAACTAGGCGAGTACATCGCCAGAAATATACAAGCACCATATAACGTCAGCGACACCAGTGATATCAACAAACCTCAGAACAACATTCACGAACTCACACAGGACGTAGGCCAATCATTGTTTCCGCGAAATAAATGATCTATAAGATAATACCGCTAATATTTTAGGCTGTGTAGGTGCAAATTTGCCAATTTTTGTTGCAGTGGGGAAAATCGAAGCACTTTTTTACATGCAATAATTAGTGTGTGTTTCATCATGCCTTCAAACCTTCAGTGGCAGTAACTTGAGAATGCAACTAAAGAGTAGCTGCATATTTGATGCTGGTGTATTTCGAGATATTTCTTTCTCTCTTTACCATGACTAGAAAATGCCTGTTCTGGTTGGCTTCAAACTTTCAAAGCTAGTGCATCTTACAGAGTGAAAGGATAGCACTGGTTCTGGGATGTGTTGGTGCCAGTGTGATATTTTTATTGAAGTAATTGGCATACTAGTTTCCATCGATAATTTGTAAATAACTCCTCTCAATTCTAAATAGTTTCAAATCTTCTGTGGTGATATTTAACTGCATTAGAAACCTATGCCACACTCTGTACTACTCCTTTCGCATGAACTGAGGTAGAGGAGGCTGGGCTTGATGGAAAAAATTTCCGGGATTGCACAGCGACAGAAACTCTTGCAGTTATTATCATTAATATCTGCAACACTGAGGTGTGAGAGTAACTTTGTGGCTGACCCACCTCAGTACTCAGTGTACACTGTGAAGTGTAAGAGTATCTTCGTGGCTGACCCACCTCAGTACTCAGTGTACACTGTGAAGTGTAAGAGTATCTTCGTGGCTGACCCACCTCAGTACTCAGTGTACACTGTGAAGTGTAAGAGTATCTTCGTGGCTGACCCACCTCAGTACTCAGTGTACACTGTGAAGTGTAAGAGTATCTTCGTGGCTGACCCACCTCAATACTCAAGTGTAATTTTGCTGTTAAGAAGTAATGAAGCATCAGGAATATAACAGCGTGCAGTGCGTCATAGCAGTCAGTACACTGCTGCTGCTGCTTCCTGCCACTTGTGGAAGATGGACCCTGTCATCTACCACTTTCTGGGGAAGGGGCTTCTTCCCCCATTACCAACTTTAAGTTAGAGGTGCTCTGCCATATATATATATATATATATATATATATATATATATATATATATATATATATATATATATATATATATATATATATATATATATAACTATATATATATATATATATAACTATATATATATATATATATAACTATATATATATATATATATATATATATATATATATAACTAATATATATATATATATATATATATATATATATATATATATATATATTAGTTGGTTTGTATTGTTAATGGAGTGTAGGTGGCAATCTGCAACTTTTAATCTCGAAATGGTATGGTATTATTTTGCATTAAACTAGTGAAGTATGCCTCTTCAAGGTGGGTTGATTTGATGCTGGCGACGAGCTCATGATCCAGGGAACTGAATTTATCCTCTTTCTTGGCTCTGAATTCCCAGGCATTATATAACCCCTCCTGGTTTAGCTCTTCCCCCCTGATTATAACAAAATAAAAATTCTGAGTTGCACTAGTCTTTCACAGCGGACGCATCTTACGAGGTGGATGAAGGTTATTTGGGTCCAGATTGTGCATGTGAGGTTTGATTTAAGTCTGTGAATTAACTGTACATTGACTCTTCTAGTCGCTTTTAAACTTACAGAACTGAAGTATTTTTCTTCAGTGGAAGCTTCGCCTTGATTTTAGGTTGTGTAAGTTTTAATAGGTTGGTTTTATTATACAAACTGGTGTCAGAGAAGTTACTGGGTAATGTCTTTTCTGATCAGAAATATATTCGTGTTTGACTATTAAGTTATCCTGGGCTAAATGTTCATAATG